TAAAAATATATTAGCAATATACACTCCCAGGGTTAGGACCAAGCAGCCTGGCTGTAATCCCCCACCTGGTACACTTACCAGAAGGGGCACTGCCACTACCATGGGGTGCATCTGGATGAATGGTTGAAGGTTCTCCGCTTGAAGTTTCTTTTAGCCCGTCCGTTTGTGAGAGGATCTCTACTGCTCTCCCTGTCGCACAGAAAATAAAAATACAAGTGGCCTTTAGGGGAAAAAAATCATACATATTTTAATAATATCAAGAATTACCTTCAGGCTCAATTTGTATCTGGTCGAGGCTCTTTCCTTCGAATTCCGTCACTCTTCCCTGCTCCATGGCCATCAACACTTTGCTGATTTTGGCCAGCTCCAGTGTCCCCTCTGGTAGTCTGTAATATTGCCTGTGGATGCGAATGTCATGGCCGAGGAAGTTGGCAAGTATGTCCATCTCATTCTCTTTCATATTGAGAACTGTAGACATAGTAGCTATGTGCTTTCTAAGTTTGGTTGAGGATAGCATCTCTGGATGCACCGCACCACATTCTTTGGCTACCTGGCGTAGGGAGTCTGATCCCCTGATGTGGGTGTCTGCGCCCGGGCAGGAAAAGAAGTATGGGTTATGGTCAGAGATGGAACAGGCCCTTCTGTTCTCCACCAGCACCTCCATCGAAGCAATCATTTCAGGAGTCAAAAGAACCGGCACTTTCCGACTTCTTTTCCCTTTAATTTCAATGCGTTGAAAATGCTGACACAGCTTTTTCTCAAGTTGGGACAGTCCCAGAGCAATGTCAGAATGGATCCCAGTCTTACTTCTTAAGGTAAAGGCTGTCAGTGGCATCTTTGAAACCTCACCTTCCCTTCTTCGATTGAAAATGATGACCTCACAAAGAGTCAAAACTGCCAGTTTAGACCAATGCTTAGACGTTGGCTCACTTATTAGGGTTTGCACATATTCAGGTCGACATACCTCAATATGTGCATGCATGGCTCTAACGTCCTCAGTCAGAGGGAGCAGGTCCGGAGTGTTCCACTTGGCTTGCCGGAGGGTCTGTAGGGCAGCAGAAGAAACACAGACGTCCCACCTCTTCTCAAAAAGCAGCCGGCTTCGTTGGAGGTTTTTAATAAATAGTTCATCAACACAATGCTCCATTTTTGAGTCACATTCAAGAATATCTGCTAGCTTTCTGAGGCTATGGCCGAGTTTGAGGGCCAAGGATGGAGTCTTGTATTGATTTGTTTCCTCATCATATCCAGCCACAGACCTGACTGCATCAATCACATGGTTAAAGTTGGAAGGAATAAAGAAATCCTTAATTGTTTTCAGTTTCCCTGCGGTTTTTGCTTCGTTAATTAACCTACCGACTTCTCTCATTTTCTGCCTAATGTAATCATGCTTAGTCTTATCATGCCCGTGTTTTAAGTACAGGTGCTCTCCGAGTCTCAGAATCCCCTTTTCTGCTTTGACAACACCCGTGACCTCATCCTGATGCATTGCCCAAATTAAAGACCACAGCTTTTTGCTGATGCCCTCCGGTACAGGCTGGGCTAGGGAGCAGAGGGACTGGACCCTACTTCTACCTGGTTTAGCCTGGGCATCTTTCTGTGAAAGCCGGCACCTGGCCACATGCCTCCACAGCGACTTTCGCTTAAGCAATGCCCCACAGTCTATACAGTGCAAAAACTCACTGGATTTAACTGGGCAATTTGGCTGTTTAGCTGGGACTAAAGTTCCAATGCCGGCCTTTAAAACCTCAAAATTGTGCTCACGGTTTCCACTATTCCTGATCAAATCAAACTGAAGTTTACGTGCTTTAGATTTCACAGGTAGAGCCAATGCTCTGGCTACGTCACTTCCATTTCCATGTTTTCTAGTCAAATGACGGGACATTTTGTGGCAGGACATTGAACAGTAGAGGCAGAAGTGTCTCTTGCTGTAAACCCTGCCCCCATTTTTCTTCTTTTGCAGCTGCATGATAACAATCTTATTTGCCTTTGGTTCGTCACTTTCCGAGTCTTGAAGAAAAGTGTTTTTGATTTTTCTTTTTCCATACTTTTTTACAAGTTTCTTCTTGACAGTTAAATCGTCAGAATCTGAGTCGACTTCATCAATTAGGGACTCTTGACTAAGCTGCACAAACAACAAATAATTTGTAATCATTCTATATAACAATTTGAAGTCATGACTTGTAGTCAGCACTTACCAGTGGTTTGTAAGCGTGCGCTTCAGTGTGCTCCTCCATGATTTCTTGCAGCCTAATGAACCACACACTTGCACCTTTTTCTAGCCTGACACCTGACTTCCTCTGTTGTGCTGCTCCATGATTGGCTCCAGCCTCTGTTGTGCTGCTCCATGATTGGCTCCAGCCTCTGTTGTGCTGCTCCATGATTGGCTCCAGCCTCTGTTGTGCTGCTCCATGATTGGCTCCAGCCTGCTGGACTGAAATTGCCCCAGTGTGCCCCTCCCTGATATCCCGCAACCCACCACCAGGGTTCCGACACATAACACACTTTTTTCAGGAAAGTAAACCTCCAGGGGTCCTTTCCATATTTTTACAGAGACTGCATAAGGACCGTTAGAAAAGCATTACCCATTGATTATTAAGCTTGGACCAGTGGGGTCCGGTGTTCGGGCCCCACCACGTAAAACCAGTCCCCATGACGTGAGTGGAATCTCAGGTTATGGAACCCACTAGGAGTTGAAAACAAGTGCACACACACACACACACACACACACACACACAGTCACACACACACAGAGGGTGAGGAGCCAAAGCGACAGAAGCAGATTCTTTATCGTGGTCTAAAAATAGAAAGTCTTTCACAGAGACCGGAACGAGACAGAGTGCTCAGCCGTAAATATGTGTGTCCATCTCTGAGTGTGTGTGTCAATCTCTGAGTGTGTGTCCGTGTGTCCATCTGTGTGTGTGTGTGTGTCCATCTCTGAGTGTGTGTCCGTGTGTGTACAGTATGCGTGTCCATCTGTGTGTGTGTGTCCATCTCTGAGTGTGTGTGTGTTGCAGTGTTGTGTGTTGCAGTGACCTGTGACGCTGCTGAAGCAGAGGACAGAAACGTCCACTGTTTAAAACTCTTTATATTTTCTTTGGAATTAACTATTTTTGTAATGTTTTTTTTACGGGACAGTGCACCTTTTTCCATCTGCAGTCCCACAGTCGCCTCATCTATCGTACATGTTTTTAGTGGTGGGGGAAACCGGAGCACCCAGAGGAAACCTACACTGACAATGGTGCACTACCCTTTTATAAACACTAGAGGCACAGTTCTTAAGGATTTAGGCTCATTTTCTCACATTAACGTCCTCCAGTAACGTGCTTCTCCTGACGCTGTCCGGTCCTGAACTCGGTCCGGTCCTGAGCTCGGTCCGGTCCTGAGCTCTGTCCGGTCCTGAACTCGGTCCGGTCCTGAGCTCGGGCCGGTCCTGAACTCTGGGCCGGTCCTAAGCTCGGTCCGGTCCTGACCTCTGTCCGGTCCTGACCTCTGTCCGGTCCTGACCTCTGTCGGGTCCTGACCTCGGTCCGGTCCTGACCTCGGTCCGGTCCTGACCTCGGTCCGGTCCTGACCTCTGTCCGGTCCTGACTTCTGGACCTCTCTCAGTCCAAACACAACACGACAACAGAGTAAAAGACCTTTTTAATCCCAAAAGCCTCTTCTTCGAACACAAACATCTGAGTTTGACAACAGAGCATTTATCATTTACATAATCAGTTTATTTCACAGAACGAGTCATTGCACAAGAGAGAAACAAAAACAATCATAAAAACAGGTGATTATTGTGGGAGGGAGAGTAATGAGTCACAGCCTGATTCTCTGGCACCAGGTGAAAGTGAACGGACCAGAAGCAGGTTTAAGGTTGGATTGGTTTAAAGGGAGAGAACAGACACAGACTGGTCCATTTAAAACTTATTATTCTATATTATTAACCATTTATGAGCTGTTTAATGTTGAGTTTGTAGTATTGTCTTTAATTCCAAATTTGTAAACAATATTTTGAAATGAGAAACTAAAAATAAAAGTATTGTATTGATTGAAATTCTGATTTGAAGAACATTTGTTTCTTGATTTTTAGACTTTATCAGTTCAAAATGCGGCTGAACGTTACAGAAATGGTCAAAATCCTCAAATATTTTACTAAATCTTATCGAAATGTTTAAATTCTACACAATTGAACAGTTTCCTAACGTCCCCTGGAACGAGCTGCGCATCGGGAGACTCTGACAGACACCAGTTTGATTCTTAAGCTAAAAATATTCTTTAATAAAATGACTGGGTTTGGACTGAGCGGTGGTTACTACGGCGACCGAACACCGAGTCCAACTTTTAAAACTCAAAACAACTCTTTTTAGTCGTACGTGAGATCAATAAAGTTGATATTATCATTATCTGATCTGACGTGAGGTTGGCACAGCTGCGGAGACTTTGCATTTGACCGTTTCCACCACAAAACACACTTTTCTCTTCATTTTTAACAAACAAGACAACATTAACTCAGACGTATTTGTCTGACGGTGATTTTTGTCCAGCTTTTTTTTTTTCGACTGAAGATCACAGAAGAACAAAACCAGCTGGAAACAAACTTATTATTCACAGTTGAAAGACGTGGTTTTGAATTTAGCTTCAGAAAAAAAAGCTGAGTCAGCAAAAACACACGATATTCTCAGGAATAACAATATTTCAGTTGAAGGTTGGACTGATGCAAACTAAGGTATAATGTATTTTTATTTGATTTGATTATTTGTGTATATTTTATTTTAGCCAATGCTGTGAAAGTGCTGTGTGTTCATAGAAAAAAAAATATAAACATTTTTTCTGCTGAGAGTAGAGCGTCCAATCTTTCAGAATCTGGTTTCACACTGTATTCCACACGGTCATAACACACAATACTCTGTGGCTCTTGAAAGTGGGTGAGATCAGAAACGGCTGCAGTCCATGAGTTTAGCATTCCACACCAGGCGCTGACCCTTTCTCGCCGCGCTATCCACGAATCCTCACCGCCTTTTATTCCTCATTTCTATACAGCCCCGGAGCAAAGAGCAGGAGATGGAGCAGCAGCCACCGGTGACCCATAAATCCTGCCCCAGCGCGGGCTCCAGAGCGGGCTCCGGAGCGGGCTCCGGAGCGGGCTCCAGAGCGGGCTCCAGAGCGGGCCCCGGAGCGGGCCCAATAGCGGGCTCCGGAGCGGGCTCCAGAGCGGGCTCCGGAGCGGGTTCCAGAGCGGGCTCCGGAGCGGGTTCCAGAGCGGGCTCCGGAGCGGGTTCCAGAGCGGGCTCCGGAGCGGGCTCCAGAGCGGGCTCCAGAGCGGGCTCCAGAGCGGGCTCCAGAGCGGGCTCCAGAGCGGGCTCCGGAGCGGGCTCCGGAGCGGGCTCCAGAGCGGGCTCCGGAGCGGGCTCCAGAGCGGGCTCCAGAGCGGGCTCCAGAGCGGGCTCCAGAGCGGGCTCCAGAGCGGGCTCCAGAGCGGGCTCCAGAGCGGGCCCCAGAGCGGGCTCCAGAGCGGGCTCCAGAGCGGTGTCGGGCTCATCTGCTATGACAGCTCTGTCTTTTACAGATTCTGCACAGCACTTGTCATGCTGTGGAGGTGTGAGGAGGAAGAGCGGCTCTGCAGGGGCCGGGACGTGCTCGAGGGAAGAGTTCAAACATGGACCAACTTTAAAGATGGTCGAGAGATGGTCGAGATCAGGAGGAAGAGGGTGAGAGAGGAACAAGCACTTTAAAGCTGGAGAACCCACTTTTATTCAGTTTCAGGAATAGTTAAAACTCTAGACGGGATTTCTCATCTCACTGTTTCTGTTTGTTTCTGATTGTGAAGCACTTTGTGGTCCTGGTTTGTGAAAGGCTCTGATGATGAAGCTAATGTACAGATGTAAACATGCTACACTATATATTTATGCACGAGATTATACATGATTTTATGATTTTTATGCTAATGTTTTAGTTTTTTTAACACTGCGTGAGTCCTTTTGTTTTTCTGTTCTTTCTAAATGTTTACATATTTGTTGACAAGGTTTTCCCCTTTGATTCTTACAACAGATTTGTTTAAATTAGTCGTTTATTGTGCAGTTCTTTGGAAACTGTTTATGAAATATGCTATAAAAATAAAGTGGATTTGATGAAGTTAAAGGTGTTATACTTGTTTCTGTATTATGCTAAAGCCAGAGATATTATTGAATTATTTGAGTTATTGTTCATTTCTCTGGTGCTGAGTGCTCCTCGTGACTCTCATGACTGTAACTGAGGATGCAACACTGGCATTTCCCATAAAGCATCTCTTCCTTGTGTACAAACTGTGCTATACAATTAAACTGGCCTTTCCTCACATGATGGCAGTGGAGTGGCCTGACGAGACTGAGGCCAAAAGGAGTGAAAGTGAAACCAAAATGTTTTAAAATCTAGAAACATGGATTTGATCATAGTCAGTTTTCTAGTTTAGTTTCAAAGTCAGGTGCTCCAGCTTTAACACAAAACGTTAAAACAATAAAAAAGCAGAGGGTAAACATGAAAATAAAAGTTTAATAAGGAGGAAGAGGAGGATTGCACTTTGTCTCTGGACTTTCTGCTGCACGAGCTTTGGACAAACAAAAAGGAATAAAAACATGGTTCTTTCTCAGGTCCGTGTTTCTCCAGAGTCCGGACGGTTTCATCTCAGTCGTCTTCGTGGAGAAAGATACAGATGTTTTTATACACGTGCAAAAGTATTCATACACTTTGATCTCTGGTTCATTTTGACACATTCTCGACTCTGACCGACTCTGACCCTAACCCCGACTCTGACCCTGACCCTGACTCTAACCCTGACTCTGACCCTGACTCTAACCCTGACTGACTCTGACCCTAACCCTGACTCTAACCCTGACTCTAACCCTGACTCTAACCCTGACTGACTCTGACCCTGACTCTGACCCTGACTGACTCTGACCCTAACCCTGACTCTAACCCTGACTGACTCTGACCCTGACCCTGACTCTGACCTTGACTCTGACCCTGACTCTGACTCTGACCTTGACTCTGACCCTGACTCTGACCTTGACTCTGACCCTGACTCTGACCCTGACTCTGACCCTGACTCTGACTGACTCTGACCCTAACCCTGACTCTAACCCTGACTCTGACCTTGACTCTGACTCTGACCTTGACTCTGACCCTGACTCTGACCCTGACTCTGACCCTGACTCTGACCCTGACTCTGACCCTGACTGACTCTGACCCTGACTCTAACCCTGACTCTAACCCTGACCCTAACCCTGACTCTAACCCTGACTCTAACCTTGACTCTAACCCTGACTGACTCTGACCCTGACCCTGACTCTGACCTTGACTCTGACCCTGACTCTGACCCTGACTCTGACCCTGACTCTGACCCTGACTCTGACCCTGACTCTGACATTGACTCTGACCCTGACTCTGACCCTGACTCTGACCCTGACTCTGACCCTGACTCTGACCCTGACTGACTCTCACCCTAACCCTGACTCTAACCCTGACCCTGACCCTGACTCTGACCCTGACTGACTCTGACCCTGACCCTGACTCTGACCTTGACTCTGACCCTCATGTGTAGATGGGGGGGGGGGGGGGGCAGCATCATGTTGTAGGGCTGCTTTTCTTCAGATGAGAAAATGGATGGAGCAAAATACAGGGCAATCTTGGAGGAAAGTCTGAAGGAGCTGGAGATTCTACAAAGTAACGTGTGCCGCATGAATACTTATGCAAACTCTACTTTTCCGGGATTTTATTTTTTGTTTAATAAACTTTTCTTTCACTTTCAGTTTCCTGTTACTTTGTTGTGATTTTTCAGTACGATATTTAAAATGTCGTCTTTGTGGATGTAACGTGAAAAAATGTGCCAGAGATCAAAGAGTAATGATACTTTAGGGAAAGGCACAGAGTATAAATATGTGTGTTCAGTTCCTTTGAAGCAGAAGCGTCAAACTCTTTTGGTCAAAGCCTGAATAATAAAATAGAAACAGGTCGAGAGCTGAGAGAATAGAAGGGATTTCCTTTTCTGATATTTTTTACTTTATGAAGGTTTTTGTGACATTTTCAGGTTGATTTTCCTGAAAACAAAATGTGTTTTGTTTGGACCAAATATAAAGTTAAACACATTGTTTTATAATTAACTATTTAACTTCTACTGATGTTGGGTTCAAATGTCAGAATACTTTAAAGTTGGTTGTTTTCTTGCGTGAACAGATGATGTATAACGCGCCATGGAAGTGAATTACCATCAACGCTGCTGTTAATAATAATAATAATAATAATAATATAAATGGTCTTTTGGCCTCGAGCCTGAGTTTGACCTGCTTTAAAGAGACATTTGATGCTTTTATGATTTTTACCAAAACTGATTCATTTACATTTGACTGAAGCGTTAAATCATTATTGTATTTGTGAATAAAACATGAAACACATAAATCACAAAGATTCAAATAAAACATTCATCATAAAAATATAATTTCTCTGAAACCGAAAAATAAATTAAACATTCACCATTTACTCCTCACAACCGTCTTCACACGGGACTTGGCTTCGCTCGACACCGGAGCTTTAAGTGCGGAGAGACTAAAGGAAACGTGCAGCCCCAGACCGAGGCCGTGCAGACCGAGGCCGTGCAGACCCAGACCAGGCAGACCCAGACCAGGCAGACCCAGACCAGGCAGACCCAGACCAGGCAGACCCAGACCAGGCAGACCCAGACCAGGCAGACCCAGACCGGGCAGACCCAGACCGGGCAGACCCAGACCAGGCAGACCCAGACCAGGCAGACCCAGACCGTGCAGACCCAGACCGTGCAGACCCAGACCGTGCAGACCCAGACCGTGCAGACCGGGCGCTAAAGCCACGGCTGCCTTTCTGAAACGGGAGGCTGTGATTGGTCAGACCGACAGCGGGAACAGAAGAGGTAGAAAGAGAGATCGCTAAGAAACTAATTTGTCAAGTGCCTTAAAAACATCTCCCAGGTAGATTCTGCTGCACATTCACCGTGGAGAAAAGGCCATTTCAAAAGATGATTATTCTTTAGCAAGGCTCTCAACAGACAGGACTCGAGCCGCGGGAGAAGGACTAATAATCCTAATAATAGCAGTAATAATCACACATGGCGGTTCAAGTATGTCCAGACTCAAAGCTACTGGCACTTTAGACACTTCAGCTCATTCTGCAAATATCAAGCAACGTTTAGTGTTTTTCAATCTCTCGTTTTGGAATAAGATTAACTTTCCTCCAGTGTTTCTGTCTCTGTTACTTCCGTCTTGCGTTGTCCTCGGGGTCTCGGTGTTTGATGAGCCTCTCGATCTCTGCCCCGAGCGTCTGCAGATTCTCCTGGAAAAGCAAAAACAAAAAAGAAATGTGCTAAATGTTTTGGGTGATGTTTTGTTTCGCGGCTTGCATCTCATTTGTCAATTATTTGGTCTTAATTCTAGGCCTGTGTTGATTCACTGTCAGTAATTAGTACTTCCTGGTTCTCTGTCAATCCCACTCCCACTGTGGACTTCATAAAGAGGCTGGAGGCCGACTGAAAGTTGGAGGCAGGACATTTTTCTGGAGGAAATGAGCGCTGATCCTGGACAATAAAATACAAAAATACCGCACTTCTGCCAAAAAATGTGTCCGTGTTTTGGAAGAAGAGAGTCACATGTATTTTGGAACACGTGAGGACTAAAGAGCAGGAGCCCGAGGAGATTAAACATTTATCATTCTGTTTAAAAAGTCTAATCATGTAGTTTGTTTTTGCAGATTCTCTCTTTTCAATTCAAAACTCATTTATTTATGTAGAATCACAACAGACGCAGTATTTAAAGGGCGTAGCTGAAGTATTCACCTTCTCTTCTATCGGCACGACAGAACAGAACAAAGAAATACAATATAAAAATAATAATAATAGCTTTGTTTGTATTGCACCTTTCAGTAGTACGACCGCAGAACAAATATTTACTTATATAGAAAATATAAACCCAAAGAGTGGATAATACGTTCATCAAAAGCCAAAGTATAT